GCCATCTCTTCGCTAGCCGGGGTACGGAACGGGGCCCTGTCCTCTGTCTTTGTCTTAAATCTTGTAAGAAGGTTGTGCTTTGAGTGATGCCTGCGATGACCTGACGACTGGGGCCGGGTGGCCGAGAGAGACTTCAATGACCGCGACGAGCCTGGCCTGCTGAGTTGGGGCATGTCAATCTCCAGGACCGCTGAGTGTCTGTTATTATCCCCCACCCGCCGCGTCGCTGGGATGGCCATCATGGGCGTAATCGCGTTCCTGGTGTCCTCAGCCTGTTCGGTGCGCTCCGATATGCTAGCCTCGTCGTCCATGCGCGGCCTGGCTGAGGCTGGCGAAGCCTTAACCGGCTGGCCCGCGTGAAAGATTGTAGGAAGGTAAGACTCATTGCCTGAATCGTCGGAGCCACTATCGTAACGGCGGTTGATGACGTTGAGGCAGGTTTTACAGACCCGGAGGGTACCTTGGACGCCAAACTTTTGGCCCGAGATGCTCGACGTGCATTTCGAGTCGAAGATGCAGCCACAAGTCCGGCAGTGGTGCTTGCGCCTGAAGGCAGTGAAGGGCGTGCCACAAAGGAAGCACTCTTTGCAGGTCTCATCGGCCATCCAGAATTCTTTACTCAGCACTTGCTTTCGCATCCGCTCTAGCCTTGCATTAACAACCTCAGGGGCACCTTCGTTAGTGGTGGTGCCTGGTATCCTCATGATGCCCGACTGCAGCATCTGTGGCCGTTCATTGTGCGTGAAGGAGTCATGATACACAGAGTTATGGGCCGAGGTACTGATGGGTGTCGCGGCGGCGCTGGGCTCCAACGATGACGATCTCGAATGGCTCCTGGTCCTAGTCGAAGTGATGCGGTCGATCACCGCAGGCTTTCGCATAGCGTCCAAAGGAGGGGGACGGGAAGTTGACGAGGAAGCGTGCGCTTCAGCCACAGGTTGGATGGGGCTTCGAGGCGTATCGGTGCTCCCGTCCATGCTGAGGGCATCCTCCCTTCTCGCTCGGCTCGGCAGCATTATTCGATCACCGGTTGCTACATTGTCTAAGCTTGGATTCCCCGAGAGGTTAGGACTCGGTGCTGTATCAGTTGGTCTGCTTATGCTTCTACGGCCTGCTGTTCGGCTGGGTAAGTCTTCCAAGCGGGCCGTCCCGCCCCGCGCGGCTTCCATATCCATAAGGCCCTGCACCGTGACCGGGGCAACGGAGGCGTTGGCGGTGGCCGGTGCCCCGGTCTTTGCAATCTTCGACAGGTTTTGGACACTAGTCGAAGGAGTTTTCGGGTTAGACGTAGTTGTAATGGAAGAGGCCTTGGAAGACTGTGGAGCAGTTGTCTGCGACTCGGAGGTCGGTATCCCAGAAGAGGATAATCCTGATGTTTGAATATCCGAAATAGTGCCAGACTCCATCGTTGAGACTGTAGCGCCGGTTTCTCCCTTCGGAAGGGGCGATGGCTTCGAGGCGCCGGCGGCCGTACTGATGCTCTTCCTAGAGGAGGCGCCATCTTGATTGCTGGTATCGTCCACCTCTTGCGTGGACCCCTTGCCTACGGCGCCGACGGCCTCCTTGAAACGTGTATACAACCCGCTTAGTCCCTGTTGGACAAGATCGCCGGTGGTCGATTTACTCTCGGAGGTAGGTAACGAGCCGGGGGGCGGGGCGAAGTCGTTAAAGGTGGTTAGAGCATCCGACTGGCTGGCCGATGTGTGGATCTTGTCGAGATTAAGGGAAAAGTGTTCCCTGTCGGCATGCGAAGATACCGAAAGCGAAGTGGTCGAGTCGCGGCGTGATCGTGAGTTTACGGGCGAAGGCGGCACCGATGGGCCGAGGGATGGTTGCCGAAGACCGCCAGTGCTGGTGCTAGCCATCGTACCGTACTTTGTTCAGGGCGCGATGGACGGGTGTTTTCAAAGCAGCCCGACTGATGGGAATCAAGGGCATGCTTTTGCGGTTGGGATCATGAATAGTTGGATTCGGGTGCTCTTGTTGTTGGGCGGGGCACAGGGTGCGGCGCGACTATGGGCATTCCGAAGGTCCAAATCGTGACTTGTTGGTGAAACGGAAGGAGAGACGGGTGATAGGGGTTTTTCGAGGCCTCGGGTCAAACCACAGGAAAATGGTATTGGTTTGGGAAATACAGACGGTTCCAGAAGCTTGTCCGAATGACTGGTTGCTCTTGAGTTCTCGATGCTTTGTCGGTGCCTTGTCAGCTTATCGGGCGTGTACCAGGGTGTCGTCACAAGCAGGGAACAGTAATCTCTACAAAAGATACAGGCTCTTTGTCGGTAGCTACCCCTGTATTTTGTTGTGATTCGAGGGGTCGAGGCACAATCGGGTCTCTTCCGCTAGCGGGTGGGGCAGTTGGGCATGGGCTGGCGGGGCTCTCATGTGACTTGGCGTCGGCAACACAACCCACATTTGCGCCCCCACGCTTAGCGAACGCGGACCCCAAATGCAGGAGGACGACAACGCGACCACCCGCCGTCCTGTCACGATATCACGAAATTTTTTGAGTAACGCTGTTTCATTGTCGATGAAAGGCCTATTTTACCGCAAACTCAAAAGCATTATGGTTTCTTTTTGTGGCGACTCACTCTAGCCTCGGATTCATGGCGACAACCATCTCTGGCATACAATTCATTCCAGCATCGACGACATTTCCCCGGCGATGAGATAGTGTATGACCATGACGAGGGCCAGTAGCGCTATCGCCCCGGAAGCATGTACTTCCTGGTCTCCCAGTCATCTCGCCAACGAGACAAGAATACCACGTCGATACTTCCAACCTCCTTCAGACCAGCGCAAGCTACTGGACCGGCCAGATGCCTGGTTTGTGACCGGCTTTCCCAATGTACCTCCAAGTGTGTTAGAGGATGTGAGGGAACACCATGTTAAGGAGCCTCGACCTCCGTCTCGGACGGAGCGAAACACACATTCCTCACAGCCCGTTTCGCCCGCTTCAGCTGGAAGGAAGGAAGCATTCTCATCACAGCCTGCATCCCCGACACGGAGCGCCGCATCACCTATCGAGCCCAAGGAAGTCCTGGACGATACCAAAGAAAGTAGTGATGAGGAGGAAGAAACGCCTAGCACCCCTATATCATGGTCGCTGTCTCCCTCGCGACACCTCGGTGGCCCACGTCCACAGGAGGAAGCAGAGCCGGATGTGCCTACAAGCACCACGAACCGACATCCATCTGTTCCGCGCAACTCTACGAGCCGCTGACAATAATCTGTCCCGGGCGAGATACTTAACGGAGTTCCCCCCCAGCGATAGCGCCGCATCTGAACTGGGGTTGGAGGTTAAGGTCCCCAAAGCTGTCACCGAAGTCCTGGCGCCGGTGAACCGAGAACCTGTCGCTGCTCTTGAACCCACCCCGCCTTCTGCGCAGATAATACCTTGCACCCATTACCGAGAAGGCCGATCTTGCCCAGGCACCGCAAGCGAAACGCCCCCGACGTTGGAAAGCCCCCGTTTACAGCAGCCCCGGTCCGGTTGAGGAGGGACACGCTCCGGGGTTAACAGTCCCGAAGGCCCGTACAGTTGTTTTACCTCAGCCGTCCAGTGCGATTGGTAGTCCGTCGTCCCCGGTACTGCCGCCGCTTCCCCATCCGCCCGCGGGTAGATTCTCTGTTGTGCCATCAACGGGGGATCAACCTATTCCGACGCCAGCGAACAGGCAGGAAGTTGTTGCTGCTACGCCGCAACCGGTAGCAACCGATCAGGCATTCAGCAATTCTACAGATAAACCGCCGCCAAACGGGCCTGCGTCGCAAGTTCCGTACACGGCCTTCATCGTGGCCTATCCAGATTACCGAGGCAGCCTTGGGACTTTCCTCCGGGCCGCCATGTGTATTTTACCGCTTCAAAAAGACAGAGCACTCCCCGAGTTTCTCTATGACGACTTTATTCGAGTATTCTCAACCGACTTCCTCAAATACATCGGCAGTTTAGACGAGAATACCCGCCCCCTTTCGGCGATCCAGTTCTACAACGAGCACGTGTCGAGGCCTCTTTACACCAAATGCGTTCTTACTAAGGACAACATAAACGACGTTACCGAAAAATATCCGGAGGAATCCCGTGCCATTCAGCAAACCCTCGAAAAGTCAGAAGCCCGTAGGCGGCCAACACGACAACTACCAGGCAAGATGGCAGCTGACAAGCATATGGTGCAATTGCCGCCCGCCCCGATGGACACAAGTCATCCTCTGCCGCAAAATGTACTCCCTAGTTCGGCCTCGGTAATAAACCACGATGCCGTGACCCGGGAAACTTCGCCACATACGGCGTCCATCCATCCCACCGTGCCAATGCTGCCGTTGCAGGAGCACCGAGAGACCGATGCGCCGGTGACAGCTAGCCGGAACGTTTCCGGAAGTTCTTCAGTCCATCGGCACCGGGCCCAAGCCGAAATACCGGCCATCTTGACAGCCACCTCTCCCAGCGGACTCGAGGTTTTGCGGACTCAGGTCGACTCTTCACCGCCACGCACCAGACCTTCACCTCCGCCAAAGGTAACCAAAATCAACTTACCGGTAGCCAGCACCCTTCCTGGCAATATGCTCTCTCAGATCAGCCACCCCGATAGCATACCGGAAACGGTATTGAAGCGCAAAGCTGCGCCCAGAGCTTCTGTAGGATCGTCGGCTCCGGAACCCGGTGGCGAGTTCAAGCGGCAAAGAACGGCGACGAAAGATGTAGACAAGAGGGCTCTCCGGTTTAGGAAGTTTTTGATACAAAAGAGGACGCAGAGCTCCGCCCCCGAACAGTCGACACCACCATAGTCGAAATACCGGGAGACATGTTGGTTGCATTGAACTGGCTAGGTTGTGGATGAATTGATAATGACTCGATACCCATGTGTAGGGGGCGGGGGCGGGGCTGGGCGTGGAGGGGGGATAACAATATAATATAACGAATGGCGGGATTCATAGCTCCATTGTTTGAAAGGATCAATGTCAAGGCGGGTCGGTATGCCTTACACAATCACTCCTGATAACACAGTACAATACCATACTAGGAATGTGGCATGGCATATCTCGCTCTTCGGTATCGGGGTATCATTCCATGTCGTTGGGCTATCTCAACAAGAGACTAGTTATCTCCTGCATCCCTACCTCATTCCGCTTCGGCTTCCTGGGCTTTCCGCTTAGCCTCCTCTTCCGGGGTCATTGTGCGTAGCTGGAGCGCATGGATCCCGCCCTCTTGGGCCAGCTCATCTTTCAGCAAGGAGTAGACGAGCCGGTGTCTCGCGGCTTGCATCTTCGATTGGAAACTCTCGGATGTGATGATGACTCGGAAGTGCGTCTCCTTGGACGTGACACCCTGCATGGGCTCGTGGTGTGCGTGGAGGTGCGAGTCGTTGTGGATGTCGAGGGTGGTGGGCTTGAGGGCGGCGGTGATCTGAGCAAAACGGGTCAGTCTCGGTCCGTTTCGGTGTTGATCGGGAAACGGGCAAACGAGCCCCGACATACCTTTTGCCTGATGGCGTCCTCAATCGGAGTTTGTGACGCCATTGTAGAGAACCTGAGCGGCCTGGCGGCTCTTGCGAAGCCAAAGGCAGCTTGGCGCAACATAGGTAGGGCAGGATCCTCGGGCCTTGCGTCGACTTGAACGGTGGGCAGCTCACCAAAAACGAATCGGAATGTGGTCCACAGAAGTTCGTCAGCAACTGCAGGCGCTGGAAATCAATCCGCTGGCAGCCGCCGTGGGGCACTCTACTGGGTAGCTGGCCAGGTCCCAGCGGCATGATCCTTGTCGTTGCATCGGCCGCAGGAGCGCTGGGACGACGGCCCAGGAGATCTCCACGCACCCATGACACCTGTGACCCCACCTCAGAGGCGCGCCAGTACCCTGGCTCAAACGAGAAAACTCACCGTCGGTTTTCAAAGTTTGGTTCCAGGTTTGTTATCCGCATCGCCATCCCGCACTCGGAATCCCTGCTCCACAACCCCAGCATCCCAAACCCGATTTGTCGGCTAGCGGTCTTTCACCGGGCAAAGAAGTAGGATGCGTCCCGGACTCGGCATCAGAAACATCAGAAAGCCGTGGCGCTCGCCGTTGTTGTCAGATGTTTAGACCCCTGTAATACCTATTACGCTTCCAGTCCTTACAGCTCAATTGTTACAGCTTTACCGGCCGTCTCCGTTTTACCACATCCCGCCCCGTCCCACCTTGTCTTCCGGCAGCACTCTAACGAGGTGCGCGAGTGACACACCTTTAAAAGCTGATCGGCAACCCCCTGCCTCAACCTGGCGTTTCGGATCTCCTGTGTTATGTCCTTCGCTTTCTCCCTCGCCAGGAGCTTTGGTCACCGGCTACCCGCTGCTCTACCACACCCCTTCCTCCGTCCCTTGTGTATGAATAGGTATAGGTCTACCGGTGGAAGGATGGCGTCAACATTACCGAGACTGCCTGTATTCGAGGCTATCGCCCGCCATGACCCGAACTCGATCGCCGTTATCCACTCGAACAGCGGGCGCCGGTTCCGATATGGGGAGTTGCTGGGCGATGTCTGCAAAGTTCGAAACCGTCTGTATGAGACCGCCGGGAGGGACGACATGGATGGCGAACGTATTGCGTTTCTGGTCGAGAACAGCTACGACTATGTGGGTAAGCCAATCACTGCCCGCCCTCGAACTTCGAAACCCCTCCTGCTTGTCGAGTTCACTCTCCATCATACCGGCATGTGCTGACAAGGGTTTCTAAAAGTGACCCTCCTCGCTATTCTTGCAGCCAAGTCGATCGCAGTACCCCTATCCCCGGCTTTCCCCGCGCCAGAACTGCAGTACATCCTCAACCACAGCGAGGCCTTGATGCTTTTATCTTCGGCAAAGTTCGCTTCAAAGGCGGGGGACGTATTAAAAGCCGAGTTGGACGTCGAGCCTGCCTACCTTCAGTTGGATAAGTTCCAGGGGAATGGGGTACATGAGAAGGTCACTCTGGATAGGTCCTCCGCTGGGGCTGCCGGGATGATGCTCTACACATCTGGGACCACAAATCGACCGGTAAGACCCGTTATCTCGGTAGACGAAGCTTGAATCACATGCTGACTCCCTCTCACAGAAAGGCGTCCTACTCCCCCAATCTGTCATGACAGCGCAAGCCAAATCGCTACTCCAAGCGTGGGAGTACTCCCCCTCCGACCACCTCCTCCACGTCCTCCCGCTCCACCACATCCACGGCACTATCAACGCCATCTTCACCCCCCTCTTCGCTGGCAGCACAATCGAGTTTCTCTTCCCCTTCAACGCCGACGCCGTCTGGCGGCGCTTTGCCGCGCCCTTCCTCACGCCAGACCAGACCCACAACTCCGACTCCCCACACCACCAACACCGCAAGATCACCTTCTTCACCGCCGTCCCGACCATCTACGCCCGGCTGCTTACCACCCACCGGGCCCTCCCGCTGGACATGCAGAGCGCCACGCGCACCGCCATCTCGCCAGCCAACCTGCGGCTTGCCATCTCCGGGTCCGCCGCGCTTCCCACCCCGACCAAGCGCGCGTGGTCCGACCTCAGCGGCGGCAACGTGCTGCTCGAGCGGTTCGGCATGACCGAGGTCGGGATGGCGCTCAGCTGCGGGCTGGCGGTGGCGGACCGGGCCGACGGCGCGGTGGGGTGGCCGCTGCCGGGCGTAGAAGCGCGGCTCGTCGACGTGGACACGCACCAGGTGATCGAGCGGGGCGCGGAGCGCGACCGCGACGGCCGCGAGCGCGTCGGCGAGATCCAGCTGCGCGGCGCCACCATCTTCGCCGAGTATTGGCGCAACCCGGAGGCCACGGCCAAGGAGTTCGTCGACTCCAAGGACGGCCGCGGCCAGTGGTTCAAGACGGGCGATGTGGCCGTGCGCCGTGCCGTCGACGGCGCCGGCCGCTCCACCTCCCCCACCCAGCGCGACTGGGCCCGCGGTGACCACTTGTACTTCATCCTGGGCCGGCGCAGCGCCGACATCATCAAGAGCGGCGGCGAGAAGGTGTCGGCCCTCGAGGTGGAGCGCGAGATGCTCGCGCTGCCGCAGGTCGCTGAGGTGGCCGTGCTGGCCGTGCCCAGCGGGAAGTGGGGGCAGAAGGTCGGCGCCGTGGTCATCGTCGACCGCGAGCACGTGCCCGACGGCCGCTGGTCGCCGCTCGAGATGCGCCGCGCGCTCAAGGGCCGCCTGGCCAGCTACAAGATCCCGCAGGTGCTGAAAGTGGTGGACCATATCCCGAGGAATGCTATGGGGAAGATTAACAAGAAGCTGCTGGTCAAGGAGATCTTTCAGGATGAGTTCAGCGGGGACGAGCTCTAAGAGTCTGTTTTTTAGACCCGGGAAAAAGCATTCGGGAGAAGGGCATCATCTATCTTCTGGTTTGTCCTCGGCAAGTGGATAGAGGACAGCATCGTCATTAGATCGCTGGTTCAGCGGGCGAGCATACATTGTACAACAAGTGTTAGACTTAGAGAGAGGCCTTGGGATAGCGTCACTGGGACCTATTGGGTC